GGCGCAAAATTACATATAAAATACAATAAATTATCCAATGATTTACTTAAAGTAGTAAACTGGTTTAAAGTAGTTGCCACAAAAAAGGTAAAACCAACAAAGACTTCAACCTTCAAAAGGCAAAATATTGCATTTTTTTTTAAATCACCTGACAGCAACCTCCTCTACTTCTACTCTAGAGAAAGCATTTGTATCATAGTCCACATCACCAAAAACCCCAAACCGTAACACTGAAAGGGTGCCGATGGTGTAAGTAAACGCAGTGTCCCCCACTTTATTTAAAATGAATGTGAACCCCTCCTCATCACTATAACTACTGATGCAAGGACCACAGAGTCCACATGGATCAGAAGAGACAAATTCATACATTACAAACAACAACAACACAAAAGCCATCCGAGTTGGAAAGCAACAATGAAATCATAAGAGTTTCTGGTGCTCTATTAATCATACACTGTAATGGAAACAGCTTCACTGCGATCAACACAGATTGTAATTCCTTCCCCGAGCATGCTCAGTGCTGTCTGCTTAATGTGGACAATGCAACACACAACTGTTGAATGGAGAGGGACTTTACACTGTGTGCTGAAGTGAACCAAAGCTCGTAAACAGAGTTTTGTTAACTAGTAGGATGACAGGTCACCTTTACGTTTGAACAAACGTGCCAGACTTGTCGGCACCCTTCACCATAATTAACCTTCTCTGGTGTTCATGCACATGAATAAACAGTTGAACGCGACCATCAGGCAAGAATTCATTTTGTTCTGCTCGGCTTTCCAAACACAAGGAACTGCTGGCTGTCAGATACCAACATCTGTCTGCTTTTCCCCCATAAACCACGTCAGTCTGGGTTCATGTCCTGTATCTGGCTCACTTACACTCTCTGAACAAAACTGCATCACAAAATTATTTGGTAGTCGAATTATCAGTCGCAGACTCTGCCATCTGAGTATTAAAAGGCCTTGTCTGTCTCACTTGGCCCAAAATACCAAACCGAATGTCCCTCCATCTGGTTTAGGTGCTTCACTGCGGGATCATTATTTATATATTTGCATTGATAAGAAAAGAGCTTTGTGGCACAATGTTGATTTCATTTAGAAAATCAGAGAAAAAACATTTCTAGCTGGCGGGGTCTTTAATTTTAATGAATGCAGTGCTGACTGAACCTTAGATAACATGCCACATCGATGTATACACTGAAGGTGAGTATCTGCACAACAAATTAACACCTGCAGATGAGAGTCCGTAAACAAGACAGAGAGCAGGCACAAATAATGATTTCACAAGTAGCATAGATGACAACATGAAGAATGAATACAGATTTGTTTTTTAATCTAAAAACATGAAAGCGGGACAGCTAGAAATGTTTTGTCTCTGATCTGCAGAATAAAATCGATATCCCACCCGGCCATTTTTAATTATAAAACAAACTCATGTCAACATGATCATTGTTTACGCAGCACTTTTCAGAGACAGGATACAAAGTGCTTTGCAAGAAGACATAAAATCTGGGAAATAAATCCCACATGACATTCAGTTGTTTGTTTCCTAAGGCCGAGGAGACAAATTATGATTCAAGGGCCGATTATAATTGGCATCATGACGCATCGGTCCAAGCTGGTGTTGACAGTCGGGAGATAAAATCATACAATATGTGGTGTTTAATGCCTCGCTAATCGTTTGTTTTCTGAACAAGTCACTGTCCGTCCTTCTCATTAAGATTATTTAAAAACATGTTTGATATTTGTCACTGGAACCCGGATCGCTGAAATGACTCTTTACTTTCACTTTTTAAAGACTTTCAAAAGGGTAAAATACTCTGTGCTGTGAGTGAGTGCTAATTAATTCCTCCGATGTCAGTTCAGAGCCACAGGTCAGCTGAATTTCAGCTCGCTCTGATGAAGTCTCTGCAGAGTTTAAGGTTCATACAGTTCCATCCAACATTACAACAGAACATGCACAAATTAGCATGTTTTTGTTGTGATGCTTCAGGTTCGAGTGGGATTTTAGATTTTAGATCTTAAAGTCTGATTCTTCAGCCGACAAATCTCAGGCCTGCCCTTGTGTGTGTATGAGTATGACTATACAGCTGATATGTACTGCAGTGAGGTGATATTCTATATTTTTCTTATTGTCAACAAATCCCCTGAAAAGACTAAAACCAACAGTGAACTGATCCAAGTACTGTCTGAGATATTGTCTGATATATTTTATTCCTTTGTGCCATAGAGCTCCATTGTTGTCAAAAATCTATTAAAAACACTTGAATGAGCCGCACTTCCGTTTCTTCAATACCATGAATGAAACCATCTTAATGCTATCACACGTGAGCCATGGCTGATAATGGTCTCTAACAAATGCACTATTACCATAGTTTGAGCAACATTACCTACGTACCCAGAATCCAGCTGTTTTGAGAAGTACTATAGAAGTACTATACATCTGTAAACTGC